ACGCCACAGTGCTTCTACGAGCCTCATAATTTCCATTTCGGGGTAAATCCTTTGTTTAAATTATTATTTATGTATCGTTAAGCACCTTAGCACTCCATACAAAACCTTTGACATTTTGCTGCTCTTGTATTACATTGTTAAACAATCTTGGAGAGGTGACGACTTCATAAATACGTCCTGAATTTCGCAGGTACTATCCTGTATTCTATTTATTGGTTCATTTCCACTAAAACAGCAATTCATTGGAAATCTATAGCCACTGGTTACCTTCTTATTTATCTTTTTGTTTTGCCGCCGTGGAGCTTCTGTTTGCAGAGGTCACTATTTTAAAATTCTGCTACATATTTTTTAATGTATGCTTTTTATATCACTTATCTTCCTCAATGCAGTTCAGGCTATCCGTATCCATACTCTGGATCCATTATAAGTATCCTTTTTCTTTTAGTTGAATGTTAACTGCAGATATTTCCCTCTCGAGAGCCCGACACAAACGCCGAAACGAAAAGCTTCGACGGCGAAAACGAAATGCCGAAATCTTAAGACGGCACCTCGAGGCTGGAGGTACACATGTTTCAAAACGGGAGAAAATTCGCATTGATAAGGCGAATCTGCAACTTAAACTAGCTGAAGGAGTCAAATTTTGCTTTGATTGTGCGTTTGAATCTGAAATGTCTGCAAAAGTATGCAAGCCATATGTTGATAAGCAAAGATCAAACAGGACCATCCATCATGATTGTCCTGACATGTCGTCATTTTGTTTTTCAAACTATTTGTATCTAAATTTTGATTACCTTTAACGTGTCAACATGGGTCGAATCTCACCAGCTGTTATAATAGTTTAAATGAAATTCTTGTCGAAAACTCAGGTAGATCATGCGGCAGATTCAGATCTAGTAGTTTGTTAAAAAGGCTTTTATATATTTTTAAATATTCAGAGCTTCAATGTAATCACAGAAGTCTTAGTGTTGATTTAGTATTGCTAATTTTCACATATATTTGTGCAAGAACCTATTTCTGTGCATGATGTGCTCTGCTCTTTCTGACATGAATAGTCATTTTTCTGTGTTGTTCGAAGTAGGCAAAAAGTTGTGTACTGAAGTCTTTCGAGACAATTGGCTGTTGTAAACTGGGGCTAATTAGCGCAGAACAAACTTTCAGTGACTTTGAAAACGGTACCGTTTAGTAGGATTCAAAAAGAAAATCCTTGCAACGATTCAACGTTTTTCCACTTAATTCTGTGACTACATTGTCCTTATTGTTTCCTGCAATGGTGTTTACTTTGGATGATTTTTTGGCGTTTATGCATAATAACGCTGCTTTGGGTCTAATTCAGAAGTTATTCTGCTGTTCCTAGAGTATATTTTGTTAAATAACTTAAAGCCTGGGCTGCGTAGTGTAGCCTGTGCTTGCCATTCATACATGGCAGTGGCCAGGCGGCTACTTAATACATTTCAGCTTCCGATAGAGTTTATTACTGTGAGGTATTTGTTCTAGGAACAAAGTAAGTTCGCGCAGCAATTGTGCCGGGCCTATGGAGCTAATAAGAAGGCCACCACATCCCTAAGTCTCCATTTGGTCAATTATGACTCAAGCGGTCTTCTTGCCGAATGCTGTCGCAAGAAGTGTAGTGGTTTTCTGAATTACCAGGTACGTCGTTATAGACGCATGTCAGGTCTTTCATGGCATCTTATCCTGGCAGGACTCTGTATTATTTTTCAGATTGGCTTCCATGCTGGACCACCCACCGAGGTGTTTAAGAGTGAGCGCATAGTTTATCTCTCCCCAGATGCCACCGATGCTCTTCTTGATATTGATAGTGAATCCGTCTATGTTGCTGGCGGACTTGTCGACGAAAATTTATTAAAAGTGAGATGTTCGCTAATTAAATAGTTCACATTGTACAAATTTCTATCACCTATATCATCAATCTTGTTTAGTCACCACTGTTGTCATTTATTGTACCATCACAAGCACCGAGCGCTGCTGCTTGCTGACCCCTTTCTCCGCTTAATTGTGGTGATTTACAGTCAGCTTTTGAGGTGACCTAACACCTTAGTAATTCACCCCCATCCGTCCCAGCGTTCCCATCGTTTGTGCGGAGAAGTCTGAGCATTCACACACGTGTACGCAACCTTGCATGCACACAACCTTTTCGACAATCTGCCGACAGGCGACGTAATCCGCATTTGCTCTCACTAGCGGTATCATTTAGAAATTCGTATTTCCAATAAAGGTGTCAAATAACTGTTGATTCGGCTTTACTCTTTCTATAGTTAATATTTGACTAGCTTTTTAGTTCAATTGCTCATTGACTGCTATGTTGTGAAGTGTGGAAATATTTAAGTAGTGTTTTTTCATGACACCTTTTCTTTAAGGGAAAAAGCCTCGACACTGCGGCTAAACTGGGTGTTCCCGCCGTGCGGCTGCCCATTCAGGAGTTTGCCCCGCCCGACTGGTGTCCTCAAAACAAGATTAAGTCCTGTGCTCTTCCACTGAACACGGTTGTGGAGATCTTCCTCGTCTTTCTTCAGCACCGAGACTGGCGAAAGACCTTCGAGCAGTGCTTGCCTCTGCGTTTCCGCAATCAACGAACCGTAGACACATCTGCCCTCCCTAACACACCACATCCACCTCAACCTTGATTCCATGTGCACCAATTTCACCTACTCTCAGTTGTTTGTCAGCGATGACTGTAAAAAACAGAGTATATCCCTCCTCTCCAAAGTCGTAATACAAGCCAGAAGCCCCACTGCAATTTCGTTTGTCCTCACTATGCTACCACCCACCCGACTCACAGTTAACAGTGCTCGTACCGTTCAAACGTGTGAAGTTGTGTAGGCCAAGGCGGAGCGTTAGAATTCAAACGAAAAGCAAACGCCTAGCTAAGCTGCCTTACTGGATGCAGCAAAGTAGTCGAAACAAAATGCAACCAACGTCCATCCGGCTGCTTGCATGGCTTGTGAACAGTAGCGACCGCGGGAATTCCTTGGGACCCGTGATTTTACTTAAAACTTTACCAGAAGACGGGTCATTTTTGAGTCGGTATGGCCGTGTCGATGCCACTAAACCTGGTAAAGAGTACATTATTGCGGCCGAATGCTCATCACGACCGCTATTCCCCGATAGTGACGTAAAACACTCTCAAAAGTGGCAAACAACATCATCGGGAAGCCTGTGCTTTGACGTCCAACTACGCAAACATCAACTTAGTCATCTACAAATTACATTGGACATCTGGTTGCGTGCAAACGGCATCGACGAAAACATTCTCGCGTGAAACATTACAGGCCACCACCAATAGATCCCACGTGGGTTAGGGCCCCCGGAGGCGGAACAACAATTGGGACGATTGTGGGTGGGTGATATGGCGCTCTCCACTGCTTCGTAAATAGAGGTTGGGACACTCACTTCCTAACTACAAAACACCGACCTTTGAGGACTTGCGCAGCCTTAGAGTGACTTACATCAAATGCTTAAATGGATAAACGCCTTAGACCGAAAAACCGGCGAGTGCCATAGTACTTTCAATCCCTTTCGCGAATAGTAGGCATCAAGGATGGGAGAATCCCACTTTGCGCGGATGCTGTGACGAGGCGTGCACTGGGACACACGAGCGCATTCAAGACCGCCTTTACGACTAGACGTAAGAGGTGGAAAGCGTTCAAACCTAAACCAGTAAGTTTTCATCGCCTTCCCCATTGATTTATCCTTTTATAAAGATTAAAATATCGCAAGCGTTTATATAAAAAAAACTTGGATCAAAAACCGATTACGGGTTAATTTGAGGTTCTGTCAAAGAGCCGAAACGTAACCCTTCTACCACACCCGTTGCAACTTGCTCTTCATCGGTGTTCGGAGGAAGGTGCTGGTGAATACCCACTAGGGCTGCTGGGCGAAGGGGAGGTCGGTCGCCTTGATGTCATTAAGTAATGTGAAGTGGAGCTTTGAAACGAACTGGAAGGACTAAACGTTGCTGATGGACAGTAAGAGGTGCCGTAGCTAGTTCCAGTTAACCCAAGGCCACTAATGCTTGATCCGGCTCCAGTACCTGTCGCACCTCCGTGTGATGACAGCGGGTAGTTGGGAGTGGCTGGATAGGAGAGCGGAGAATGACTGTGTCCACTAAGCCCTGAGGGGACACCTGCGGGAGAGCTTGGGGCTCCCAAATGTGGTGAATAAGAGAGCATTGAGGAACCGCCGAATGATGGCTGTGGGCTGTACCGAGGGGCCGATGGCGACGCGTAGTACATTTGCGGTGGACTCGGGTGACTGTAAGAGTTAAAATTGGACATCGTGTTGCCAAGGGAAGAACCTGAATCGATGCTAGGCGAGAAACCGCTAGGTGTATCTGAGCCACCGGTAATCCAACTCGAAGCTGCTCGTCCGGAGGAACTCATTCCTGCACCAGGCATCGCTGGACTGCCAGGGCTGTATGAATCCAGACTATTTGGCGATGAGCCCGATGGAGAGGTGGAGCCGAAACCAAATCCTGAAATGTTTCGCTGTGGAGAACGAGGTTGATATCCTACAGACGCGGGAGAGTATGACTGTTGGCCGGAGTAACTTGGAGAACTGCTATCGGCTCCAAGACTGAGACTAGATGAACTACCGGTGCCACCGTAAGTGGGTTTTGACAGAGGCGAGTAACTGGCATCTGCGCCGAGGCTTATACGACTTGCGTAGCCGAAAGAGCTGCCACTCGCGCTTCCGGAGTGGCCTGGACTAGAACCAGGTGAGCCTATTTCAGTCTGTGGTGTCCCGGCGAAAGACATAGGGCTGGCGAATCCTGACATCACACCAGGAGAGAAGGAGATGTCTGGCGTTCGCGGACTATCAAGTTGAGGGCTGCGACCCGGTGAGTACAGGAGGTCATGTCTGTAGGCTTGTGGGGAAAACATTGCCTCGTGAGGGGCAGTTAAGCCGCCCAGACGACCAACGTAGGGCGAAGCCTCAATAAGAGAGCCTGCTGGGGACGCAGCGTTATCCCACGGAGTACTACCACCAGGCCCACTCACCAAACCTGAAAGAGCATCGCCACCTGAGGCTAAACCAAAACGGGGGCTTGCCCAGGCCCCCGCAGAGACGTCAAATATCCCACCATTGAAAAGCCCCATAGCTCCTGCGATGGGAATGGGCTGCGCTTCTTGACATTTGGCCGAATTAAGGAGGAGATCAAACGAGCCGGTGCCGATTTTCGCGAGCTGACCTAGCATCACGTTCTCAGAAACACCCTGCATCGGATCACATTCTGCGTGACTGGCTGCCTCCATCAAAATATCAACAGTTTCCTCAAAGCTGCAACGCGCCAAGGCGCCGGTGTCGAGACGGTTTATTCCGTGGCGGGTTATGGCCATTAGGTGACCTTTAACAGTCATAACATCGCAAAGAAGCGCCAGATGACGATAGTTCACGTAAGAACCATCGAATGATATAACATCGTGCATTTCCGCTTCGATGGCTTTGCGTACTGCCTCGATGCCGAGGGCCTCAAAAATCTCAACAATGTCGTTGCTCACTGTTCGAGCCGAGTCCACATCACGCTCAGCAAGCACCTTCATTAAGCATGTACCATCTGTCTCGAGAATCCACTCAGCAACACAATTAAAACTGCCATCTTTCCGAATAACGACACGCTGCTTGTCAGTAGTCTTGGGTCGATGCATATACACTTTGGCTATTTGGGGAATGCCCTGTAAGGTGATATCAGTGAGTAGGTTCGCCTCGATGAAGCGCAAGAAGGTATCATCCTCCATTTTGTCGGTAGTTGAATCAGCTTCCTTCATATTTTGCTCCAGATCGCTGTTCATAATCCGGATTCGCATGGCCAATTTCAAGTTATCGTCGGGTATGTGACAGATGAGGTCACTGCCGAACGCCTTTATGATTTTGTCTGCAATCTGCTCCAGGGTTAGCTTCTTGCCCGTCATTTGTTTTCGAGCGAATTCAATGCGCAACATCCACGAGCTTATAGCGTCCACATTAAAATCAGGCAATTCATAATAGGTAGAAACCCACTCTCGATCCTCCTTGACAACACTATTCTTAGGATCTGGGTCGTAGTAGATTGACGTACTGTTTACGAGTTTACGGAGTGTCGTGTGCTCCAAACGAGCTACTACATCTTTAGCGTGTTCTGCATCTCTAGCTGCTTGCCCTGTCAGGTAAATAGTCATTGATGGAGTTTTGGGACGCTTACTGACATTAATAATTTCCTTTAGTCTGGGTACACCGAGGGTGACGTTTTTGGCGGAGACACCTGCATAATGGAAAGTGTTTAGCGTCATCTGCGTAGCTGGTTCTCCAAGAGACTGTGCGGCCAAAGCACCAACCATCTCGCCCGGATGAATTTGCGCCTGCTGGAAGCGGTTACGAATTTCACCAAGAACCCAATCCAGTGCATCATAAGTTAGGCGATGCTCTTGAATAACTTTCTTGGTGCAGAGCATCGACCGAATTAGGCAGGACATTAGCAGCACGGCGTTAGAATTAGCCTCTTTGCTGAGTGCATCTTCGCCAGGAACAACCACTAGACGTTTACAAGTATCCCGAACTTGTTCAACAACTTGTCGCGGATGAAGGTTAGTCTTCGAGAGGGGATCAATCTCAAACAACTTCTGAGCATTCCAAATGAGGCGACTAATGTTGCAGGGTAAAACAACGCGATCCTCGGGTTTGGTTATGATGGAACGAAGCACCTTTCGGTCGTTGCACAACTCGGCCCACTCAGCATCCAGTTCGGCCTGAGTTTCTGGGTCAGTTGCAAGCAGTCTTACCTGGTCCTCGGGCATACAGCGTCGGAGTACACGCTCGTTGCTTAAATCAAAACGGAAGTTGTGTTCAAACGCCTCATCAGACGGTTTGAAAGTTGGCAGCCTTTGGAATTCAACATGTGAGGCGTCTAGGCCATCCTCTCCGTAACGCAACTGGATAAGTTGGTTTATTTGATTTCGCACTGTACCGTCGTATTTAACCATCACCGACTCCATGGCTTTGATTAGTCGACGCTGAATATAACCAGTTTCGGCAGTTTTCACAGCCGTATCGATGAGACCTTCGCGGCCACCCATCGCATGGAAAAAGAACTCAGTGGGCGTCAACCCGGCTAGATAGGAGTTCTCGACGAAGCCTCTTGACTCGGGACCGTAGTCATCTTGAATAAAGTGAGGAAGAGTACGATGACGGAACCCGAACGGGATGCGTTTGCCTTCGACGTTCTGCTGACCGACACAGGCAATAACTTGGGAAATGTTAATACGGGAGCCCTTCGAGCCAGCAACGACCATAATGTTAAAATTATTGTACTTGGAGAGAGATTTTTGCGCACAACTGCCAGTCTTCTCACGGGCTTCATTAAGAATTTTGTTTACGTGGTTTTCAAACGTTTGGCGCAAGGTGTTTCCGGGCAGAGGTTGGAAGTCGTAGTTATGAGCCTGGTCAATAATGTCAAACACAGCATCTTTAGCTTTAGTGATCGTTTCACCAATCTGTTTGCGCGTCGCTTGGTCGTAGAGGGTATCTGCGATGCCAATTGTGTGGCCTTCAATCAACAGCCAGTTATTAATGACTGTCTGAATATTGTTAAAGAACATCCCGACGTCCTCAAAATTGTGTTCCAAAGCAACTAAGTGAATCAAGGAACCAGAGGCTGAACCAAGTGTCTTTTTGCAAAGAATTCCAGCTACCAAGTCGCCATCATCAATCAGAACTTTTGTGTCTCCAGGAGAAATCCAACGATAAGGCCCATCATCCTCGTCTTCAGGATGGGTGCTGTGCGTCCGAATGCAATTAATCCGACGTGGTATAATCAAACTAAAGAGCTGCTTCCCAGTCCACAATCGCTGAGGTTTGTAGATTGCCGGCTTTGGCATTCGGCCGTTCCAAGTTGGAAGGTACATAAGGAGGTTCATCATGTCGGCTCGATTTATAAATACGTCACGCTGAGTCATTTTGTAGGCAGCAGTGAGAGTATCCTGGACGATGCTCATGACGGGTTTGTTAGCCTGAGGAGTTATGACAAGGCGGGACACTCTAGCGAGTTGGCTTATTTCAGCCTTTGTCTCAACAGACTGTGGTAAATGAAGATTCATTTCGTCCCCGTCAAAATCAGCATTATAGGGCGATGTGACAGATAAATTAAGACGAAATGTGGACCAGGGTAAAACGCGCACACGATGACACATCATAGACATTTTGTGCAAAGTTGGCTGACGATTGAAGACAACGAAGTCATCGTTAAGCATGTGTCGTTCAACAATGTAGCCGACCTGAAGAGTTAAATCGGCAACCTTTGGGTGGTAACGAAGATCGATTCTGTCACCATTTTCCCGAACAATAAACTTTGCACCGGGATACATCGTCCCGTTTTGAACCAATTTTTGTAGAAAGTCAATGTTGGATTGTGTGACACGTTCTGGGTAAGTCAGATTTTGGGCGATCGTCCGAGGTACGCCAACTTGATCGAGACATAAATTAGGATCAGCGGTGATGACGGTTCGTGCAGAAAAATCAACTCGCTTGCCCATCAAATTGCCACGAATACGACCAGCCTTGCCTTTCAAACGTTGTTTAATAGACTTTAATGGCCTTCCAGACTTCTGAATAGCTTTGGGTAGACCAGGGATATCATTATCAATCAGGGTGGCTACGTGGTATTGGAGCATTCTGACATCTTCGGACAAAATATGAGCCGCTGCCCCATTTTGCTCATCCCGACGAAGCTGATTATTTGCTTTAATTATATCAGCAAGCTTATGAGTTAAATCGTCCTGGTTTCTCGCAGCCCCATACATCACAACAGCAGGTCGAACCGCAAGAGGAGGAACAGGTAGAACGGTGCAAATCATCCAATCTGGTCGCGCATACTGTGGATTTAGTCCAAGAGCCACGCAATCTTCATCAGAAATTCGTTTAAATACTTCCAAAACGCGTTCGGCTGTGAGATTTATCTTTTTTTCTTGAGAGACTTCATTTACGTTTTTCCATTCGGCAGTCATTTCTAAGCCAATTCGGCGAAAGTGCGGTTGATAACGCCCACAGCCAGTTCTGGTGGTCTACACCAGAAAAAAGCATTAAATGTGGGTTTTAATTATTAGGTAATGACGGACAAGCAAAACCTACCTTGTTCTCAAGGCTAATTTCCTGTTCAGTGTTTATAAGCTCTTCTGGTGAAAGACATGCGTTGCGGGACTTACATTCTTCATACATAAATGCAAGACGACGACGGGGGTCGTTTTTCGTCTTCCGCAAGATTTCAGCAACTCGTGGCATTTGCGTGTCAACAAGCAGCTTGGAACAGTAAAAGCAGACACAACGAAGAATCTTAAGGATTTTTTTCAAAAAACCGATATGGAACACGGGCTTTGCAAGCTCAACATGAGCAAAGTGCCCAGGACATGTTGAGGTATTTCCACTGCATGTTTGACAAATGCTAGAACGACTGACACATCCTTGACGAGGGTCCATGAGGCCCCCAAGCTTGGGCTTTCCACCATCCATGGTCTCTGCATATTTAATACCCCCATCAGGGGCGACTGACATCTGTTTCTATAACCAAAATTATACACACAATAAATACACGCAAACGATTCGATTCGTCAACAAACAAAGAGAAGTTGATACAAAATTTAAACAAATATCAAATTAAAATGGCACGAAAACCAAGATTTTTAAGTAAGTTGCATTAAATTGTTATTGGACGCCAAATGAGACACGCTGGTAGTTCACCCATCCCAATAATTCATATCTACCCCGTCCAGAATGACCCAGGGCATGAGGGTTTGGGGCACTTAAGACAGAATCCCTAACAACTCACACCTAGATTTAGTAAACACGCTTAAACAGAGCAAATGTCCAGGTAAAAACAAGGTTGCTAGTAAAATGACAAAGCAACATCAAAATCTGATGCAAAATCTACCACTGGCTACAACCAGGTTCACATAATGAACAATGGTCTTGTAAACCTTCGCCAGCCTCATGTTTTGAAGCTACGAATAAACAGCAAAATTCCATAAAGATAGCTCTACTAAGGCATAAAATCGAGCGAGATCATTACCTAAATACAGGATAATCAGCATTCGGTTTACAGATTTAGAGGAAAGGTGGAAAAGTAGAGGTCTCTAAGCTATTCTACGAAGGCAAAATCCACAAATCAAACAAAAAAAATTAATTTTTACGTACAATTTCATCGGGACTGAGTATACCAAACTGAAGGAGCTTGACGGACCTTTCGGGCACCAAAATGCCATCCATTACTAATGCAAATGCAGAAGTAATGTCGGCCTGACCTTGGCAATTAGAAGATTATAACAAATTTAACTTAAATTAATAAGTTTTATTATTTTAAAACTTTGTTTTCAGCTTGTTTTTCTAAACATTTCGTAATTTTAGTTAAAATTTAGCATGCACTTTAAGCACTTGTGTCAATAGTGTACCAAACATGTTTATCAAATTCAGAACATTAAAAAATGAAGGTTCAAATAAAAACTATTTTTTCTCTAAAATATACTCTTAAGATGCCTGACGCATTTTTAATTATCAAACTAAAGCTTTTATATGGTATCTTTGTTGGATTCATTACTTATTCCCAATTGGATAAAATTAAGCATATTCCCGTAAAGCCCACTATTCGGTGTGGCCTGTTTGTTGAACTTCCGTAGACTCCCGATATCTCTACTTTCTCAAGCCGAGCCAATTGGTCTGAAAACAACCCTAACTAACCCTTTGGCTTCAACATTACTATTCCATCTCTGTTCTCACTGCCTTAGTTCATGATTGTGTATAATACACCAGGTCTCTTGTAGTCAATCCTGATGGTGTATTTTTCTAGGACACTGACCGATACAATTCAATTAATTTGAGTCTTCGCTCGGTAGACACGTTACATCTTAACCAGAGCCATATCTGCAAATAAATCTGTCAAATTTAGAAAAAATGTAAGGGAAGCGAATCCAGATTTATATATTTTGAGGATATAGATCTAACAAAATCAGCCGAAAGAAGTTAACACTGTAATAAGTTGAAATCTTTTCCCATGTATCACTTTAAAACCACTTTTTGTTTTTCTGCAAGTTGTCACAAACCACCTGTGGATAATACATGATGAGAGATGAAGTGTTTGCGTTAAAACAGTTATGTTTAACTAATTGCTGACCGCTGTCTATCAGCGACACCCACTTTTTCAACTCTTTGATGCAATAATTTTCTCTGGATGGCTTGAGATTTATTCCTGGTTCGGTACGTTAATGAGTTTGTCACAAGATATCGGGGAATAATTTCTGTGGTCTTCTGTTAACAATTTAGCATGCTTCAATTCTTCCGAGTTTCCGCTATTGCTGCTTTTGTTGCCAGTAGTAAATGAAGTGTTTTACATTCGTCATTTTATGTCCACATAAGCCTTTGTTCTACTATACTGGCTTCGTCGAAACACACTTAATGTCTCCCACGCCACTCCACGTGCTACGAAATGCGCCATACTCCTGAGCTTGGCTTAAGGTTTGTGAATCCTGACGTTCCTACAGTGACCATCTTTTTCTCCAATCTTGTATTTGCATCCCGAACCAACCTTCTCTGAAAGTCTATTGTTTTCATTTTTTGTTTTTGAATGCTTCCATTGAATATGCCGTCGTCTGATCAGTTTTTTCGTATTCCTAGGTCCGAGCTCCGCTCGCATATTACACACTAGCAAACTGCCTTTATCGTTGTCTAAGTTCTGGGGGCATACCCATCAGCGCTCAAGTTACCATTATTTACAGAAAGAAGCTCATTATCAGTTTAGCAGGTTAGCAACTGTAACTTACATATGCCACTATACTAGTTTGACGAAGAGCAGCAATAAATACTTAATAGTGACATTTAAGTACATGCTGCTAAATTGCCTTGTTTGTTTAAATTTATCGGCTTAGATACCTTATCAGTCCCTCAGTTTCCGAACTCAATTAATTTGGCCGACCCATCAATTGTAGTTGCAAATTGTCTGTGTCAAACTGTTTGAATTTTCTTCTGTCGCGAATCGTGTTTAGTCAACCCCTTAATCCGATCGCTCCGCCTCCGACACAGGGTTCCCCTTTTTCGCAGCATGGCGCCAGCCGCGCGACTCCTCAACCCCTCCTTCATTCACACGAATATTTGGATTATCCTCATACATAGGTCTCGATGTTAGCGCATGTATGACTCACACATCCGAGGTATAAATGCACACGCGCAAACCCCACACACGACACAAGGACACCAGTTTCGGTTGAGCTCTGAAGTAAACGGTTGTTTCCCGTCCTCTCCAGTCTTTTCCTTCATCGTGGGCATCAGGCAAGCTTAATCGGACCAGTGTTAATTGCGTGGCCTTGGCGCGGTTCAAGACCACAGGCTGGGGCCCTCAACACTTCCCTCGCATTTCTAGCACAACATAAAAGCCTAACCTTATGTGCGTCAATTAACAGTACTTACATTAATAGCTATTTATGCACATTATAGCTACCATCGTAACTCTGGAATTAGGAATATAAACAATAATCACTTCAAATGTCCTTACAAGTAATGACATTTTATTGAATGCATTTGAAAATGTAGCAATTATCTGAGCACCCAATGGTGCTCAAAAGCTACTTCAGGAGTATAAATTATGCTCAAAGGGGGACCCCAGGGGAGGAGACAAGTTATCGAGTGATTAGGAATCAGAAATAATTTCTACCGTCCAAACTACTAGCTGCAGGGCTATAAGCCTCAGTAGGTGACGTTTACGAAAACTAGGTCTGCAACGCGCGCCACTCGACCAATACATGCCAGCCTGTACTCTCGCCTTCCTCGGGCCGTGCATATGGATCCGCCGGTCAACCTTGACCCCCCCAATCAAAGGTCATCCTCTCCCTAGAATACACCAGGTCCCTTCCGCACTTCTTCTGTCGCATGTCTGATGGTGTGGCTATCCTGGAGGACTGAATCATAGTAACCTCCCCTATCAGGCCCCCGTCTCGGTAGGCACGTTACGATTGCTCCCAGCTATTATTTTTGAAGCTCTAGTTGAAACTCCACTCCGTTGAGCACAAAAGTTGCACGATAGTTCTGGTTTCACAAATGACCTGTTCTTGGTAACATACCGAAGAGGGGGCAATAGATCGCAACCGGCCCGTGAGCTAATAGGGTGTCTCCTTTGACCCAACAACAACACCATGCTGGAAGCCCTTTATACGAAAAAGGAAATGCAATCTGATGGATGTGCACTTTGGTTAAACACGTCCAACGTTTTAGCACTAACCTCAATTGATACTAAGCTGCATTAAGTCTTGAACAGAGTAGTCAGGTGAAGCACGTTTATGTGTGTGCAGATTTATATGCAGCGAACGGTGGTAGATGATCGTGCTCTCTTCCTCGGGCCGAGTTCATAGGACTTAGACCGATTAAAAGCAGAAGCAACCAACTCCTGGTGTGTTTAGTCTGAAATGTCATAAACTAATAATGAAGCCACTTAATGTCAGTAGAAAACATACATCTACCGATTGAGGGAATGTGTACAAGCCTCAGCACGAATTTCACACGAAAAGCAACCAAAAGTGTAGTGCACAGTTACACGTGGTCCCTACTTGTATAGACACATTGCCTATGTGGAACAACTGAGTGGAATGGCCCGGCTTCTAGCATCAGAGCGTATAGCTCAATGGAGACCAAAAATGTTTCAGGTTAATAAAAAAAAAGTTAAATTAAGGCGGACACTGTTTATGGAGCAAAGCAGTATCCTAAGCACGTTAAACCTCATCAATGTATCTGCACGAAATCAATAGAAGTGCGGTAGAGGTGGAAGCGATTGCAACACCGGCAGCTCTCCCTTTAGGCGAATGTGAATGCCATCGATCGCCTGCGCGCGATCAAACATGTGACACATAATTTTGCACAACTGCCAATGCTGAAATTAAACAAGCCTTGCGAACAGATAGTTCCGTTCCCAGATTTAAGTATAAAGGTTCCCAGTTTACTAAAGACGGCAAAGCTTCTATTCGACACATCAGGCGACATCTTAGTCTTGAAGCTGGGAATTGCGTTAAACAGTATACGTAAATTTGAATCACAACACGAATAAAACCCAGTTTTACAAATAACCGCCTCGCCTTCAGCAAAATCAACCCCTCGTCGAAAAACGAAATCATTGTAAAAAGTAACCAGATTGCGTGCAAAAGCATTGTAATCCAAAATTAATGAAAAATAGCAAAGTAGGCAAATTCCAGCTAGCAATTTCAAATATAGCATTGTAGGCAGAGCAAGCGACATTTGACTCACACAAATCTCACTGATAGCAAAAATAAAGCACCACGGAAAATGCAAAGCTGTGGACAAGCCACTAGCTAGTCAATCTCCAGCAGAACAAGTCCGGGCCCGAATACGATTTTGCCCGAATGATTTTTCCAAATCCTCAATCTCTTCCACAGTCTTCTCAAATAAAGAAGGCAAAACTTCAACCTTGACCTCGGTTCCCACTGAGATCTCCTTGACTATGGGGCGCAGAGTTGGATTAATGAACTGAAAGTTGGCAAATAGTCGCTCGATTACTTCTGGGGTCATTCCAGCTGACGAAAGTCCCTCGTAGTCTGGGGGTTCAGTGATCAGCTTAGAAGCACCATCGTCACGCAACTCAATTGCGTGCCGTAGACGCTTCCTTACTACGGGCATTACTTTTCCATAGGCAGCTGCTAGTAGTATGGGATCATGAGGATCCAATTTGCAAATTGCCTCGCTGTCAGGACGATGGTTTATCGACGACGGAAGAATAGGTGGTTGCTGGCTGCAAGAACGTACAACATCCCAATTGACGTGTTTGTAGAAGCGAAGTCCCTTAATACCTGAAATGTCAGGACGTTCCTGATGTCGACGTTTAAAACAGGCACTAAAGAAGGCCTGAAGAGGCTTTGTGAGTCTGTTAAAAGCCTTGATTGCATAACGACCCTCCTTTGCCCACCTGAGATCTTCGTCCAAATTCTTGGCTACTGAGCGGATAGGGCCAGACACTAATTCGGCCATTAAAACAGCTAGACTCCAGATGTCAGCCTTGGTGGTAATAATCTCTCCCTTAGCTATTTCAGGTGCCATAAAAAGAGGCGTCCCCGTAAAGTCGTCATCACTTGGAGATTTGTTGTTTCGGCAAAGATCGTAGGAACGATCAAAATCGGAAATGAACACATGGCCTGAGAGACAGAGGAGTACGTTCTCGGGTTTAAGATCTAAATGGACAATACCCAGGGAGTGAAGATGCTCCAAGCCACTGATAAGTTCGGATGTGTAAAACCGCGCTTGAGATTCGTTCAGGAGACCATTTGAACGTAGGAGATCGAATAAGTCACAGCCGGTTCCTTCGCGAAGTAACAACGTTGGGGAACCATGTATTGTGAAACTATAAAAGAGGGTAGGGAGAAAAGGTGATTGGTATTCCTCCTCGGCGAGGCGCACAAGAACATTCCGTTCACGTAAAGCGCAGTGAATGGCGGATGGATTTTGAAGGAAAAAGCGTTTAAATGCATAGGGTTTATCCTTGTCAACACCCTCCGTATGGAATGCTTCGTAGACCATGGAATAGCATCCCCTGCCAAGAAAGCGCCTCACATCAAACTCCTCCGACAACCCCATGACATCTGCGCTGACGAGGCGAGCACCGTGGCAGTTTTAATAAACCGATGAATGAACCAACGCGCAAATTAACCAATCAGCTTGAAGCTTACTTCTGATTGGCTCAACGTGAAAAGACGCACGCCGGTTGTCGCCTAGCCCTCAATCGATTAGTTAGTGTGCGCACATTCGCGAATCCGGCGTGCGTCACTAGTAGCTTCACTGCGAAGCGCCGTTTCGCTCAATTTGTTGCGCCTTTTTAGCCATTGGGATAACGTTGCCAATTTTTAAATGCTGTTCCACAGGTCAAAGGGCTTCATCGTTTAATGCAGATACTGCCCATTGGAAGCCAGTTTAGCTAATACTTGAGCTCAGTCTTGTCTCTAGGACCGCAGGTTGTTACACATGTGGTGATGATTTCCAGTATTTTTTTCGTAATAATCGATTTAAACCCTAGTGTATCTTAGAGTGGGTGTCGGCTCGAATTAGGTTTGAAAACGGGTTCTCCGTTTTACGTTCACTCATTAAATTAGTTTAACTAACTTTAATATGAGCTCGTGACATTTCACGTCAATTTTTTGACAATTCGAATCGATTTGCTCTATCAATTGAATTTAAAGCTAAAGCGCATTGTGGTATACACAAGTTCTTAAATTGCTCATACCCCTTTATTTCTTCAAAATAGGTAACATAAAGCCAGCGTCGTGGTGATTTTCTGAAAGTAAACTATTTGTTCTGCATGAGTTGCCATCCAAGCCGGAATTAGTTACCGAACTAAATCTTTCAGAGTGTTAACTCTAAGATTGATCGGCCCTAAGTTGACATGGTCTTAGACTCGTGGCGTCTTGCGGCCTAATCCAATGTTGCATTGCTGGCCGTCATGATTGGCACAGCCTTTCAGGTAGGCAGGATCTGTCGTTTAGTTTAACAGCGGCAAAGCGGTGTGTGCGCACGAGGTCATTTTAAATTTCCTAAACATTTGAAAACAACTCTTGTCATTCACCATAGCTGTGGGGTTTCAGCAAACTCAAACATCCGAATTTTTTCCAAATTTATTCGTTGTCTGCTAACTGTGGCTTCAACAATTATTTGTAAACATGTTTACTATTTAGAGGCATACCTCAAGGGTGATGAACAGGTCTCTTCGTAGGAGCAAATAATGAAATAGATATCTACTTAGCAACAATAAGTACAAATATGATACTGTTAAAATTACGTTCAACATCATTAGCTGCTGTATTACCCAATTTAGTGTGTGCGGGGAGGGTGGACCGTGCTAAATCCACTTCCTAAACTGGAACTCAAAATCCGGCAATTTTTAAGCCACTGAGAAAGCTGGACTTAGCTGAAAAGGAGGGGAAGGAAAAGGCTATAAAAGACCAAAGGTTGCATATAGAGTAATTGGTGAGCGGATCCCAAAAAGAAGCAGGCGAGGTGTGAGCAGATGCGATAGAACAAGCAAGTATTGATTGCAATCTGTGAATTACAGATACAGCTAAACCACACAAACAACTGTCCACAACCAATGAACACATGTTACAAAATTTAGTGGGTAAAAAATTTAATTAGAAAAGGTTGCTCCAATTACCAATTTATAATTGGATATGTTAAGACGATTTTTGAATGCAGAGAAAACCGTGAAAAAGGTAGTCTGGGACAGCACGTAGGCTGACTGTATATTTTTCATCAGACTGTTACGAAACAGACATTTGATTTCTCTCAAACAGAAAATTTAGTTCCGATTAAGGAATGCTTGAGAAAAACGCAGAACCTACATGGAATATTGGAGGATGTTTTAGTTTTGGTCCAATTGTGCTTAATAATAAACCCCCCACTGGTACACGTTGAAAAATGCCAATGGGCTATCGAGGATCAACTTATCCTCGACAAGTGGATTTGCAATTACCCTGACCTTGGAAAACCCAAATTGTGTCAGGCACTTCGAGAACACCTGTCACCCTTGATGGGTGTTTCAGTTCCTAGATTAGTGGTGATCCATATGTAACAGCAGGAAAGGAAATTCAGATTTGAGTGTTCGTTTGAGAATCTAGAGTGCTTCAATAATATTTGCCTAAAGACTAAAATGTGGAATGTGGGTACTGATGCATTCACTGGTGATTCAACAAGGAGGTTTCTACCTGCACTCTTTCGTTTTCTTCTGCTTCAGTTAATCACATTGGTGTTCATTATATAAGCTAAATTTGTCGCGAGATAAATGATTTTCTTAAAACGACCTCAAATATATCCTGAGACATGTTTGTTGGGCATTTTGGAACGGTAACATAATGGACGGAAATCCCAGTTGTAAGGAAGTAGCTCGTCTGCGTGAAGACAGCCTTGCTAGGCGAACTCCTGTGGTTGAGCATCTTGCACAGACACAGTAATCCACCGTGCCTAAGCACTCAGCTGCATGATCTCCAAGTACAAAGTGCCAAGATGCCGTGTGCAGTGAGTGCATAATCGTGACACACTTGCTGTCAATTTCTGGCATGCACACACACCCAAGCACACATTGAAGCCCTGTTGCATGAGACGGACTGGACTTTCCAAAAGAGGGTGTGGCGATTTGAGTTATAGCGATATTTGATGCTTGTGTGATGCCTCTTCCACCCGCGAGGGATGTTTGCATTTTCAAGTGAACGCAGAGGTGGATTTGTAGAGAGCTTCGGTGTGTACTCATGCACAAGACGGGCAACCGCGTTCACTTTACTACGGTATTTCCACACGGATGCCCGTGAAGACTAAGAGAAACACGGGCGTCAGAGACACAAGGCCTCACTAGATAACGTAACCAGTTTGTCGTTTTGTGGCGTTAGCACGTGTGAATTTACAGCTACGATGTGTGAAACAGCCTGAGTCGTCGACGTGCCAACATCGAGGCTCAGTGGGGTGTGTTTATAAATGTAGTGATTATCCAGAATAAGTATTCACGTCAGATTCTTGTCTCCGAACACTTTGGGATTTTCACAGTTTCGCTGAAGACGAGGACGAAGTCATGCCCATCGTGGCCACAGAAAAATCGTCACCACTTGAACACAGGCTGTGGGGGTTGACGCCCACTCGCCATCCAAATCACCGGCAACATGCCTGCACATTGTCGACATTAGTGGCAGTAGCACTAATGTGGTTGCGCTTCAACCGCTGTGGTGTTTGCTTCCTTTGGAGAAGCCCAGCTTAGAAGTCGTGTCCACGGGAATTGCGCGTTCAAGGTTATGATGGCGTGTACGTGTTTGAAACAAGTCCCCTAATTCAAACACCCCTTGTTCCCTCCTCCTCCTCCTCCTCCTCCTCCTCCTCCTCCTCCTCCTCCTCCTTTATTCTT